TGACCTGAAGTTTATGGTTGGGATCTTGTAAGAAACGAGTATACAGCAGAAATTAAAGGTAATAATAATAATAATAATAATAATAATAATAATAATAATAATAAGAATCTTGCTCCTTAAATGCCGAACGAAATTGTTCTCCGACGTTGTATAAATTAAAAAGGAAATTGGTAGAAATGAAAACTATCACAGTTGTCCATCAGTAGATCCCCAGCCTCACAATCAGAACAAACCTTCAAACTTTTTTTTTTACCAACACCCTATTCAAAACGCGCCAACCATTTAAAAAGAATTCCTTCTTCACATAACCACTTATCAGCCTCTCTTTCCCGCCTTTTGTCTACATTTTCTGACTGAGAATATCGTAACACCATCATTTAACGTTATGCAGACCATTTTCAACGTTCTTCTTTTCTTTGTACGTACTAGTCGAGAAGTTAGACGAACGGAGTAGGTAAACAAAAAAGAGAGTCGATATTGGTGTAGATCGGATAAAGTGATTCCCGTGTCCAATGAATCGTTAAGAGAGAAGTTTCGAATTTCTTCGGTTATCGAAAATGTCCACTTCTTTTATTATTGTCTGGTGACAGCGAAATACAGATTCGTATATTAAGGAAGGAGAGCTTGTCAACTGAAATAGCATGAAATAGTTTTGAAAAGGAGGCGGAGAATGTGTGTTAAAAGAAAGATAAAATGAGAAAAAAAAATACAAGAGAATGATGACAGTAATAATAAACACAATGGAAAAGCGATGAGGAAGATAATGATCCGAATAATAAAAACGATGAAGAAAAATGGTGAACAACAGAAATTAGGAAAAGCCAAAAAAAATGTTGTATAGAAAGAAGAGTGTGCTCTAGGGCTTATGCCAATGAAATAGCAAAATCTGTCGAGACAATAGGTATCAAATGACATGAACTTCGGTGCTTGCAAAAATGATGAACAAGGCGTTGAATGAAAGAACAACAAAAGGTTTTATCACCTTGAACTTTTTTTTTATCATTATCAGATGAAGTATTGTGAGCTCTGCTTAACTTTTGACTAGTATTTCTTTCATGCGTGTTTGTAGGATGTAGTATCCGAAACACAAGTGGAAATGATGAGACAAAGTGGAAAAGCTATAAACGATGCGTTTCGCCAGGTCTCCAAACCACAAGTGGAACTAATATACAAAGCAAGGGCGAAGGGTCCATAGATGCAACGCATTCACTGCATGCCTTACATTTTTCCACGATAAATAGTTTTGTGTAATATAAAATTAATTATTGATAATTTCACTCTCCTCTTTGTACTTGTATTTTTTGTATTTCTCATTTTTTCATTTCTTTGGATAATTGTTACAAGCGGTATTATTTAGAGAGTGTAAGTAGAGAAGATACTTGTTTAGTTAGAAAAAACGCAAGTAAAAACAATGACTTTACTAGCTTTCTTAGTAGAGAGCATAAGAGTCAGGGCATAATAGCGCGTGGGTGAATGAGAGACAATCACCGAAAAGCTGGAATTCTTTAGCTTGCGTTAGAAAAGAATATGACTTTAACCTTCCCGGTTTTATTATTTTCTGCATAAAAAAGAAAGAGACAGAATAATAAAGTGGGGTCACAGAGAGAAAGCCACCGAAAAGCAGATATTCTTTTGCTTGTTTTCCAGCCGTATTAAGCTAGCAGACTGAAGTGTGGATGGTTTTTATTGCGCGTGCCTATTGAAAGGACTTATAGTCGGACAGATTTAGACGAACAATTTGTATTATTCGGTTTTGAAGAGTATATATGACGTTGTGTCACGCCAAAATTCTTATTTTTACTAACTTTTAAAAAGTTTTAACCCATGGAGAGTATTCTTGATCCCTTCTTGAGAACCGTATTGTGACCATTACCCAGAAAAGTTTTTGACCTGTTCATACGTGGAGCGAAAAGGAGCAACCGGCGCAGTCTGTTTTTGGTAATTAAAAGATAAGTTTTCATCCGTTTCAATGCCCCAAGATTTAATTTTAAAAGTTCAAAATTATTTTTAAATTATGTAAAAAGATTTCTTGATAATATTGTATATTATTTCATTAAACATGTTAAAGTTTGTTAAAGGACATTTAAAAAAATTCACTGTAATACCTAATTTTAAAATTAAATTAAAAACATTTAAATTCAAATTTCATATATTAATGTTAGTGTTATTTTAAGGAAAGGCTGAACTTTATCTTAAAAGAACATTTGGGTAATTTAGATTAAAACAATATTAATTTAGTTCACGTCAAAATTACGAATTTTCACTTTACCAGTCATCAATCAACGCTATTTTCTGACACCTGTCGTCAAGCAACAAGAAACTTATTCATATATTTAAGAAAAATAAGAATGTCTACGCCTGGTTAAAACAGACATTATTAATTTGTTGAAATGTGAACAAGATTAAACTACTTACTTTTTTTCTTAAAATGCAGTGAAAAACACCTTTTTTGCGAAGGGGGACCCTTTTCCCGAAATTGCTGGAAAAATGGTTGGCTCATTCTCCCGCTCCAGAAAGTACCTGACACTTCCTACCATGCTTTATCTTTACAAGAGTCAGATTGTATCCCAAATAGAGTATAACTCTGCCATGTCTGGACTGGAGCTGCATAATCCTCGCTTTCCAGTTCAAAACTGATAACGCCGTCATTTGAGTGATGACTTATTTTCCATTCTGCAACCTCTTTCCAACAGACACAACAGGGAACATTATTAATATTATGTATTTCTTATATTTAGAATTTATTTAAATTTATATATTTTATTTTATAAATATATTATTTATTACTAAATTTAGTTATTAGACAAGAGCTAATTAATTATATAATTATTGATTTGCAATTTGTCGTGCCGGTCGAGATTGAACAATGTTTGCAAAGAAGAAAATTTAATGTCTGAAGTACACAGAAATAAAAAGGTTCTATTGTTAATAAATGCGATAGAACCTTAATGAACCAGGAAGATGACAACTTAGCAAATATTAAGTAAAGTATGATAAAACCAGCAAAAAAAAAAAAAAACTTAATAAAACAAGTCAGCATAAGACTTTATTTACCAAAAATACATCGAATACTTTAGAATTTATTTAAATTTATATATTTATATAAAGGGTTTAGATTTGGAATCAGTCATCCAATTTAGGCGAAAATCTTCTGAAGTCCACTGTAACGACAATCCCAACCTATGACGACTCATGGTTACGACGAAATTGTCATTAATCTTGTTTCGTATAAATATATGTATTATTTAATTTCATTTCATTATATGTATTATATCTATATCCTCCATGTATTTTTTTGTCTTAATTATGTTAACATATGTCATAGAAATATGTTGTTATATCCTAGATTATTACCTTATTGTGTTAGCATAGGTGAGGGACGTAAATGCTTAGTCACGGGAAATTACGGATAGGTTCCGACTTACACGGAAAACTGTGTTACGACGCGCATCGGAGGAACGGACATTGTCGGAAGTTGAGGAAGTTGTTTTATGCCTCGACCTCATTAAAAGTGAAAAAAAATACAATATAAATATACGAAAAGTTAAAAAAAAAGGCAAAATTCTTCGTATAAAAAAACACTTGCATATATATATATATATATATATATATATATATATATATATATACAAAATTGTTAGGGTTGATAATCCTCTTAGGAAGTTTGAGAAAGAAACATTTAATCACTAGTTACTTATCATCGCCTGAAGTAGCACAATCAAAGTATTGAAACATGAAAGCTTTTAGGTCGCGATTTAAAAATGTTTTTATTATAATCTCTTATAATATATATATATATATATATATATATATATATATATATATAAAGTTAGTTATGTACCTACTACCAAAAAACAATATGAATTTTTGTTTGGTTTGTCACGAGCCTGAAATGTATGCGTCTTGATAACTTCCTAGATCAATAGACAGAGAATGACTTTCTCGCTTAACGATATTTCGTGCGGGTCTCGTCAGGTTATGTGACTGTTTTTAATTCTCGTGACTATTTATAACTATTTTTTATTGTTATATTTGTTTCGTCAAGGGGAGATAACTTTTTGTGTGTCGCTACACGTTATTTTACCGATCGATTTTCGTTTACGGTTCGATTAATTTGATTCGTAAGAGGGGATCGCAATTTAGTAAATCATTTTCCACCGGTTTGCTTTCATTTTTAGAGGTGACAATTTGCTGTTATCACAAGGCTTTGTGTGGAGACGAAAAGGGATGGTTAATTTCCAGCTGATTATTGGTACCAACTTTTCATAATAATAACACAGGAATTTGTACCAATTAAACGTGAATATTTTTGGATATAAATATGTTAAAATTAAATATCCGGATGGAGCAAAAATGGAAAGTTTGTGATGTTTTCAAATCGATACGCAAGATGGAGTTGACGCTTTGTGGTGAACAGATCTCACATGCCTTTGCGGAAAGGAAGGTGTGCAACAAGACAAAAGTGCTTTTCTCTTTGATTTGGAGAGTCTTTTGGTAAAGAAATCTTTGATTTATAGAATACTTTTAGTTTAAACAATCGATTTGCAGATTTTTGTTTGTTTTTTTTTGTAAAAGAGAAGATGAAGTAATCATATAACACTGTATCACGTGACAATATGGCGAGAAAAAGCCACGTTATCGTCAGTGTTTATCGCATAATAAATTTAATTTAGAAAACTAAAGCGAAAGCCTAAGTAGACTTACATAGCAATTTCTAAAAAGAAAAAAAAAATAGATGGCATTATGTAAGGATTCAGATATTGAAGGTAGCAATGAGTGGGACATTTTTTTTTAATTTTGAGAAAATTATTCGTGAATTAAACAATGCAAACGACACATGTTTTGCTGTTTTGCTGCGTGTCTAGAATTCGTATCTTTATTTATTTATTTAAGCACAGCACTCCTGTCGATACACGCTCCGCCGTCTTTCTCCAGAGCTCATATTGCATCATCTGGTGCACTTCCTACCGAAGGGTCCTAAACGTTAAACACGCGCGCACGCACAGAGAGAGAGAGAGAGAGAGAGAGAGAGAGAGAGAGGGGGGATGGGAATATCATACCCAAGTAAGAAAACGGAAATGTTTACTTTCCTCAGTACGGATGCAGTTCAGGTGATATGAATTATTTTCTTCTGATCACATGAATGAGATTATGTGAACATTGTTCGAAAATAATTGCTCGAAAACAATTATTCGAAAACGTTTTTTCGAATTGTAAATTGTTTGAATGAAAATTAATCGAAAGGACAATTATACTAAATGATAATTATTCAAAATGCAAAATTTCTTTATGGCAATAAAAATGTAAAAAAAGGAAATACACAGATGATAATAATTATTAGAAATACAAATATCGTTAATAAAACAATTTAGTAAGAAAATCCTTATAACATTTAAGTTATAAAATACAGCACGCAAATAGTCAAGTACTGAAGAGGACTTGTTAAAGAATGTCACTAATTTTTTAAGTTTTCCATTTACGTTGTGGTATTTTTTGGTGCTCTTGATATTTTGGCAACCTGTCCTTACTTTTACAATATGAAGTTCTTGCAAGTTCTGTTCTCTTTTAAGAGCATCTAAGAATTTCCATATTGTGGGATGATGGGATGACATTTGCTGTAAAAATCCCTCTGCCATCCTTCAAGGGCATTATTAGTTCTAGGTAAATCAACATTGACTCTCTCGAAGCAAGACGACATATGTATTTTTAAAACGTAGGCATTTCGAATGATTATCATTTAGTATAATTTTCCTTTCGATTAATTTTCATTCAAACAATTTACAGTTCGAATGCTTTTCGAATAATTATCTCGATACGCGTGAATGAAAAGATAACAGCAAAATGTGAATGATTGAATTTACTTGAATATTTTTAAAATTTTGTCACGATGCAACTTTGACATATCTCTAACCTTGTTAGCCTTGCTATAACAATAACAGAGATATATCATCATTACTACCCCAACAACACAATATAATCATTATCAACACTGGCCATCCAAATCGCATCTAACGTTGTTTTTATTGCTAGGACAGCCTATTTTCCCGCGTTTCCGCTTTATGATAATCGATTTCTCGTTTTTTTTTTGTCTCTGAGAATTAAAAAAGTACTCAGTGTATGATGTCAGTCCCACCCTGATACGAGGGAAAAAGAAGTGAGGTTGAATGAATAAATAAAATACTTTGGAAAACAATCTTACACTTTAGCTCTTCGCAAACAAAAGCTCCATAAAACTCAACTGTCAGGCAAGAACAACAGCAAAAATCATTTCCTAATCTCCACTAAATCCATCACAGTTGGCCACTTTTGCTCCATCAAATCATGATTTATATTTCGGCGCGATGTTCTTGTCAGGGACACATTTTCGTATTATTTTCGTTATCATCACAGATTCTGCCACTAAACTATAATGATTGATATACTCTGTTCATGGAGCAACCCTCATAGTTATCTAAACTATACTCATGATCTGATAAAAGAAAGTTAGCTGGCTTACCTCGCAAGCACTTATTAATTCGCTACCTAAAAAAGCTGACACATAGTGTGGGAAATCCCTGTACGAATCCAAAACTGTACTCGACTCAAGATAGCCATTTATTTAAGAAAGTAGGGAAAATTTTGCTAGAAACAATGAAAATAGTACTAAACTTGTGTTGCAGTGAGTGCTGATGAGTTTCCTCAAAGATGAAAGGGAGACTTGAAGCAACAGAAATGTGGTTCTACAGAAGATACTCTGGACCGAATATGTGACCAAGGACGAAATTTTGGAAACTAAAAGGAAACTGATACCCAACATCAGGAAGAGACAGTTGAAGTTTCTGGAGCATATAATGAGAAAGGAGGGCTTGGAAAATTTGATACTCACGGACAGATAGAGAGTAACAGGTCGTTTGTGGAAAACTTTCAGAAATTGGTATAGCCTTGTAGAATTATAATTGAAGTTGGTGACTTATTTTCACATTATTACACAACAGGAAACAGTACTTTAATTAGGGCAAATATGTTTAATATTATCTGGTTTTAAGTTTTTGTCTTTTGCCCCAGATTTCTTTGGCGACCACAGGTTATCTCATAATCTAACGTCTTCTTTTCCCAACTCACTGCTAAGATAACTTGATCTGCTGATCTCATATTTCTCCTGACTACTAATGCACAAGTCAAACCATAACGAATAGTGATTTACTAAACGTAGCTTAGATGTGGCACAAGTTCGAAAGTAAAGAGCACTCAGTGAGAAACGAACTCACTACTTAGTTGTAACTGATCTAACGAGACAAACATACTAACCATTACTTCACATAAATTGGCATCTAACTTCCATGAGTTCACTGTTGAAATTGCTTTCTCGTTAACTCCCATCTTCAAAAATTTAAATACAATGTCAATCACAGTCTTCTGAAACCGGCTGATGACATCCCTTATATTGAGCCCAGAAACCACATTAAGCTACTTATTAAAACTGACACAGGTTTCAAATTCTGTCCTTCTGATTGGTTGAAAATAATCTCGAAGAGTGGTTTTTTTTTTTCAAGTCTTTTTTCCCCGATATATTATTTTTTATAACTCTGGAACAGACATAGTGTCGCCATAATTAGGCTCAAAGGCAAAGCTTATCTAAAAATGCCATCCTGTTAACTTAATGGTTGGAAATGTCTTCGTTCTAGGCAGTGGAAAGCAGCAGTGGGTCTTACATTTTCCAATTATCTTTTATAGTATTCGGTAACGGTAGAGAAATAAATTTTAAAACCCGTATAATTTCAGTAAATCTGCTTGTTTGTTCGAACCATAATATCGTAGGCCTGATCTAAAAAGAAAGAAAAAACTGTGTGAAACAAACCTTCCTTGTTTCAACATCGAAAAGTTATAAAAGTTTAATAAGCAAAACCTCCCGTTTATTCCATATGCAAGATTACAGAATGAGAAAAAAATATCTCTTGAATAAATGAGTGGGTGTTTAAATAAAATGTCAGAATGGACCTCTTAATTCTCAGAACTTTAATAAATGTACCTCCCCATTTATTCGAGAGGCATGAGTAGTTAACCCAACCTTAACTCTGTAAAGTACAGAATGTTGAAAATTAGTCTTCTCTTTTGAATAAACAGGAAGTACGCTTATTAAAATTTTGAAAATTAAGAGGCCCCTCTCGCATTTTATTTTACTCCGACCCCGACGCCGTTTATTCGAGAAGTAAGAGTACGTTTAGGGCAATCCTGTACTTTTGGAGATCTGGGGTAATATTCACTGAAAAATAAAGTAACAAAACATGCTTAATTTTTAACGAAAAATAAACATGACGCCTCATGTTGATAAAACATTTAATATAGTGAGAGGCGAGAAACAAAAGTTAAATAACACGGTTATGGGCGATTTGGCATAATCAGTGAAGGAAAACCGTCGCTTTTTTTGTGGTGTAAGGACAAATAAATAAATAAACAAATAATCCCCATTCTTAATATCCCGGCGATGAATCATATGCCGCCATCTTTCTTTCCACTGTCTTCTCAGAGGCAATGTTACCAATTTAATATTACCACTGTCCTTTTCCTTTTTGTCTTTTTGTCTTTTTGTTTTGTTTTGTTTTTTGTTTTTTTGTTTTTTGCATTTTCCCTTTTTTCCCCTTCTTAAACATACTTTTTAAAGTTTTTCTTTATTGGTTTTACAGAAAATCCTCGTTTTCTGTAAAATATGCAGGTCTATTCTAGTGTATTTTTGGAAATCAGATATGGCTTTCACTTTGGTTACACAAACCCCCATAAAATGCTGAATTTTAGAATAAAAGTAATTTTTTTTTCTTTTTTTAAAAAAATTTTTCTCTTTCATTCTTTAAAGGGAAAAAAAGAAGAGAATGTGAATAATCCACTTTCTGGATCGTCATACAATGGATTAAAAAAAGGTAAACCGAAAAAAAAAACTTCTTCGTTCTGCCACGAAAAATACTTGTACATAAAATTCGATGCAAGTGAATGGTTATTATACAAATACCAAAGCCACTTCGTCATGGTGTAATGGTGATTAAAATGGTCTTGCAGATCATGCGGGTTAGTGAATTCGATTCTCACTGGGTGCTCTATATTTGTGATCTTAACTTGTGGTAAACCATATTACGATTAATATCGCCATAAGTACAACGAATTATTAGAAGACATCGAACTGTTTATAGAATGATTCACGCCAGGAAATACTAAAATTGAATTTATGTCTATAAGGAGCCTTTGTTTAAAGAGAAATTGATCTGTGGCGACCCCAATATGTACTGGGTTCACCCTAAGAGATATCAAAGTAGATTCAATATTCAACGTAGCACCAGAACATCAGAAAAATCAGGTGAATCAGAGAGATGACCTGGGAGATTACCTCTCAGCTACCAGACCCATATTCATGTCTCGCAGGATATCAGTGACTGCCCCAGACATATAAACAGGTGTTCGACTGGCTGCGGTTAGGATGCGCACACGTGGGACAACCGGGTGATATGAAGATATATGTTGTGTTAGTGCACGGTCGCACTGATCCAAGGGACAGAACTCTTGCTTGTAGTCGAGAACGGTCATGCTTGGAAAAAAAAAAGATTTCCTAAAATCGTGTTGCTCGTCTATTGATAATATTGGCTATTAGCCTACGTCTATTTAAACAATACAATATGTAAGCGCCACTTACGAGTGGTAAAAACAAAGATCATCCATGTTTGGAGGAAGCCTCTACTCGTTGATATTAATTAATGAAGTCTGTTGTTGAATAAACAATAATTTTATTTTATTTATGAGAGATTTAGTCTCCAGTTCTTATTTGTCGTATTTCTCACAGAAAATGAAGACACTTGGATTTTTTTTAACTTTTCATCAAGTAGTCACTTCTGGAATATCCTTCTTCTTCTTTTATGTTCCGTATCCCTTTAGGGCGTAGACGATCATGACTCTCCACTTCTTCCTTTCACTTGTAGTTCTCAATATGTTTTGTTCTTTTGCTACTTCTCCCAAATCCTGTTCTGTCATCCACTTACTTAAGCCCACTAGGTATGTCACGTATCGCTTTCCCTTGTCTCTCTTTATTTCTATCC